ACCTTTATTGGTAAACTAGTGCCTAGAAATGAGACATTTAAGGACAAAACATGGCCTTTCTCTCCATTTTCGCTTTCAGCAATAACATATAGGTCCTTATATCTTGAGTTTAATGCTGACTGGTTGGTGCATTCTTAGTCAAAGTTGTTCTTGTAGATGTCTTCTTTCATTTCAGATATAAAAAATGTATAGTGGATGACCAATGTTCATAGTAGAGCTTTCAGATCTCCCCTACCCCATTTATTAGGAAAAATGACCGGAAATATTAATAAAAAGTAAAATAACTTCAAATTATGAACTTTTACAAAGTTGTACCTATTTTATGTCGATACTATGTATTATTTAATCTTTTTCTGATGTTTCAGGACCCTCATTAGTATTCTAATGCCTAGAAATGAGATATTTAAGGACAAAACTTGGCTTTTTTTCATTTTCGCTTTCAGCAATAACACATATGTCCCTATATCTTGAGTTTTATGCTGACTGGTTGGTGCATTCTTTGTCAGATCTGTTCTTGTACATGTCTTCTTCCATTTAGGATATAGAAAATGTATATTGGACAACCAATGTTGATATTATAGCTTTCATGTCTCCCCTGCCCCATTTATAATATAAATGAAAAAGTAATTTCCAATCATTAACTTTAACAAAATTGTAGCTATTCTCTATCAATACTATGTATTATTTAATGTAACCTTCATTTGATTACATGTGTCTAAAATTTGGCATTTTTAGCAATCTGCTTTTAGCAGTATCATATAATTTTCCACAATTATAATTCTTTGATGATAGATTCATATATGCTTTTTATTGAATCTGTCTTCTCTGATTTAAGTTAAAGAAAATGTATGTAAGACAACGAATGTTTTTATTAGAGGTCTAAGATCTGCCCTCCACCAATAAATAGAAAAACAACACAAATGTTATTATTGCATGTTAACATTCTTAAACTTTTCAAAAGTTTAGCACATTTATTAGCACACTAAAATAAAAAAAATGACACATAAATGGGCAAAATGACCAATTTTTCACTTTCAGCAATAGTTGTTTATATTTTTAGTTGGATGGTGATTAGTTGATATATTTTAGATCATATATATTCAATTATGTGTCTTGTTATCTTCAAAGCATGGAAAATGTGTTTTAAACACAAATATACATATTAGAGATAAAATTACTACACTACCATATTTTTAAAAGATTACTCAAAAATAGAATAATGTGAAATAATTTTGTAATTTCACAGTTTACTCTCATATGAATCAAAGGATATGTCTATATATAAACATGATTGTTCACAACTCTCGAACTTAATCCAGCAACAGCCTGATTTTTCAAATCTCCCTGGTTCTATGTTAGAGCTGCATTTAAGTCATTTTAAAGGTCTAAGTTGCTCATGACACCACAAGCTATATATTCAGATATGTAAGATCTCTAAATAATTTTTATAGTTCTGAGAAACTCATCCTTAAATATTGTCCAACAATGTGCACTATGTTGTTCATTGCCTCATGGACAAGTAGCAATACACCCTTGACTAGAAACTTTGTATTTGCAATTTTCGGTGCCTTTTGCCATTTTACATTTCCGAATTGCCAAGGACATATGTTTCTTGTGTTGCTACGAAGGTTTGTTTGTGAGTACTGGTACAAGACACCCATCTTTGATATATCTTCAAATAGGTATTGCACTTTGAGATTCATATAGTAATTTAGAATGCTACCTTGAAGGACATAAGAAACTTTAAGAGCTCTTTTTAACTCTCATCCTTCTTTGCAAGCAACATTCTGTATCATCGATCAGACTGAATACAAATTCTCTCAACATTGAACTCCTTTGTCTTGTCTGCAGCACTGTAACAGACATGGGCCATAAGGAGAGTGTCAACTTCTTCATGATCAGTATTTGATAGATAAGTTGCAACTATCAGTTTTGCAAAGTTCAATAGCAGCTCTGCCATAAGTGAAATTCATCCCATTTTAGTAACATTGCTTCACAAACCAAAGACAGCTTACCATTTTGTAATCCTTTCCAAAATCATCTTGTTGGCTGTTCTTCATTTCACAATGTTTACATTTACCAAAATATCCCCAAGCCCAATATCCATCATGAACTTCCTAATTACACCACCCCTAGGTGTAATATGGAAATCACCAAGCCTTTGACAACATTACAATTACTCAGATGCAAGTAGGTAGTTACCAGTTTCACCACCAGGTGGCTGATTCGGGGGAAATAACATGGCAGGGTATTACAAAATTCCCTTAAACTTGAATATTTATCAGTTTTAGTGGTTCACTTTTCATATTACCCTTATGTACCTGATAGTTATACAAATTAAAATATGTCCAGTAAAAGAAAATATTATCTGCCCAAGACAAGAAAAGATATTTCCCTTTTTGTAATTTTACAACATGGGGGCTATGGGGAATCTCCCCGACCTAGAAGTCACATTTTCAAAGAAAATTAATATTTTAAAGTTGATAAACTCTTTTCAAAACCATATTTCTAGATGTAATTTTACATGTACATTCCAAATATGACATCAATTTGACTGAATTTTGAATTTTTAATGACTTAAATCAAGATTATTTCTACTCGCATCTAGGATATTGATATGAGGGAATTCAACCAATATGGCTTGATCACTGGTTATAATTATCACAGTACTATACCCCATTACTTTTAAATATATTCCAAGTGTTGTACTATACATTGCATAGATTCATGAGCAGTTTGCAACATATTATAACCAGAAAAGCCCAATGGACAAAGATAGAGAATACCCGCCCCATTTGCAACTCAACTTTAAATGTCTAATTTTTAGACTTGCATACACATGAAGTTCCTGACACATCTGAAAAATATCAAATGATACATAGTATTGATCTAGAATAGCGACAACTTTGTTAAAGTCTATACTTTGAAATTGTTTGGTTTTTTATATTTCTGGTTATTTTTTTCAAAATAAATGGGGTAGGGGAGATATGTAAGCTCTAATATAATGACAGGCTTTCCAATATACATTTTTAAATACCTTAAATCAAAGTTGGCAGGCAAAAGAACAGATTTGATCAAGAATCCATCAACCAATCAGCATAAAACTCAAGGTATAAGGAACTATATGTTATTGCTAAAGGTGGAAATGATGAAAAATGCCAAATTTTGTTCTTAAATGTCTAATTTCTCGACACTAGTATACTAATGAAGGTCCTGAAACATCAATTACAGCAATCAATAGCACATAAAGAATAGTTACATCTTTGTTAAAGTTTATACTGGTAGTTTGAAGTTATTTTTTATATTTTCCAGTCATCTTCCCTAATAAATGGGGTAGGGGAGATCTGAAAGCTCTCATACGAACATTGGTTGTCCACTATACATTTTCTATACCTTAAATGGAAGAACACGTGTACAAGCACAGATTTAATCAAAAATGCAACAACCAGTCAGCATTAAACTCGAGATATAAGGAACTATATGTTAATGCTGAAAGAGAAAATGATTAAAAATGCCAAATTTTGTCCTTAAATGTCACATTTCTAGACACAAGTATACTAATGAAGGTCTTGAAACATCTGAGAAACCTTACATAACACAAAATATTGATATAGAATAGCTACAACTTTATGAAAGTCTATAATTTCAAGTTATTTTATTTTTTCATATTTCTCGTTTATTTTCCATAATTGATGGGGAAGGGGAGGTCTGAAAGCTCTAATATGAACATTGTATGTCTACTATACATTTTTTATACCTTAAATGTAAGAAGACATGCACAAGAACAGATTTAATTGAAAATGCAACGATCAGACAGCATAAAACTCAAGATATGAGGAATTATATATTACTGCTGAAAGCTAAAATGATAAAAAAAATGCCAAGTTTTGTCCTTAAATGTCTCATTTCTAGCCATTTGTATACGAAAATAGGTTCTGAAATATCTTAAAAACATTAAATAACACATAATATTGACATAGAATAGCTACAACTTTGTTAAAGTTTATAATTTTAAGTTATTTTATTTTTTCATATTTTTCGGTAATTTTCCATATTAAATGGGGTAGGGGAGATCTGAAAGCTCTCATACGAACATTGGTTATCCACTATACATTTTCTATACCTTAAATGGAAGAACACATGTACAAGCACAGATTTAATCAAAAATGCAACAACCAGTCAGCATTAAACTCGAGATATAAGGAACTATATGTTAATGCTGAAAGCGAAAATGATTAAAAATGCCAAATTTTGTCCTTAAATGTCACATTTCTAGACACAAGTATACTAATGAAGGTCTTGAAACATCTGAGAAACCTTACATAGCACAAAATATTGATATAGAATAGCTACAACTTTGTTTGAGTTGAACATTTTGACTTCTTGTAGTTTCCATTTTTAGCCAATTTTTTCTAAAAAATTCAAGGTATGTCTTCTTCGGACCAGTATTTAGATATGTTCGCAAGAGTTATATGCTTCGCAGGCGAAATATTTTATGCAGGGCACCCTAATATAATAAAAAATACACAGAAATTCCATCCAGCTCTTAAAGTCATTTTTTCCTTAACGGAGCCTCTTAGAAAATTTTCCACCCCGAGTAGATCATTTAAAACCTTATCTGTGTAAGATATTGCTTAATCACACATTTTCGTGTCGCTTTAATAGTCAAGAGGTTACACTTTTGTTGTTAAAATAGCGGGAAGTTCAAATATTTCCAATTTCTGATTGATGTCAAATATTGCATAAAATAACGATATACCCTGTAATTTGATTATGAAAATATAAAATGCATTGTGTAATTATAGAATATTCATCTTTCAGACATTTCACCATGACCTAGAGATATTAGCTGCACAGTTATTGCATTACCTATTGCTAATACTAATTTTAGGATGTAGTGTACTTAATTAGGGTCTTGGTGTCTTTGGAACATTGTAATATCCCTGCTCAGTTAGAATACCAATTTCAGCGAATTAAGTTGTGTTTACTTGCTATTGCAGAGTACGTAGATGCATGGATAACAATACAGTTGTGATGTAACTTTTACAACGAATTGGATAACATCCGGATACTTACTAAGATGTACTCCTCATACTGGAAATATATACTTCCACTGATGACTACTATGGTAAGTGCACATGAATGTACAATCATTTTTACATAGTAAAGACACGCCCTTGAGCTAAAACAATGGGCGTTTTTGGTTTAAAAGTTATGAAACACTCGATATGGTAATCGTCTTGCAAACGAGTTCGTCATGGAAAAATATCAAGTATTGATAAAGTAAAACAAGACTTTTTGGACAGCCCTCGTGGCTCGTATGCATTTAAATAAGTAACACAGATCATATATTCCATTACCGAATCCCATAGCCCAGAACGATCATCACATTTCTTTATACCTTGCTTGTTTATCATATTCTTTAAAAACCAGAAAAATGTTTCAGATACAGTAGAAACAGTGCAATATTCACACACCTGTAGATATTTGGATAATTTTCACGAGAGATAATATATCTCTAAGAGCCTGCTCTGAATATGATTTTGATAACACGAAACCTAATTTGACTTAAAAATCCACAAGATGAACATTTGGTATGCATACAGGGTGTTAAAAAAACGCAACCCGAAGAAATCGCTAAATCTTGAAAAATACTGGAAATAAAGAAGAGACTGTGTATGTACACCTCCTGTTAATTGTATTGTATTGTATTCTTTATTTACCTCTTATATAAGAGAGAGTTAATGATAAGTTGTAAAACATGATGCCTTGGACACCTGCTCAAAAGACAATTGTACGAGGAAAATACGAAAAACGCAGTCAGGGATGACTGCAACCGCAAAAAAATTAAATAACTTCCTAACCATAGTGTTTTTGCTCTTCAAATTTGGCACAAATCATCTTCATTCACTGTTTGGTAGATCTGTAGAGTGAAATCAAAATCACTTCAGGGACTTTACAGTTATGGTTGAAATGCTTTCAAATCGCAGTCAAACACCCTGGTTCAGGGAGACTTAAGAAGCCATTTTGACCATGACTGTAAAGTCCCTGGTGTGATTTTGATGTAACTCCACAAATTCAAATGTGCCAAATCTGAAGTGCCAAAACACCATGGTTAGAAAGTTATTTGGTTTTATTGCTGTGGCAGTCACCTCTGACTGCGTTTTCATATTTTCCTACAACTGTCATTTGAGCAGGTGTCCAAGGCATCATGTTTTACAACTTACAGACAACAGGACTTATACATACACAGTCTCTTCTTTCTTTTCCTGAAGAAATGAACATAATTGAACTAGTATTTTCCAAGATAGAGTGATTTTCTATTCACGTTTTTCGTATTTTGCAAGTACAACTGTCTTTTGAGCAAGTGTCCAAGACATCATGTTTTACAACTAACTAACAACAGGAGCTATACATACACAGTCTCTTCTTTCTTTTCCTGAAGAAATGAACATAATTGAACTAGTATTTTCCAAGATAGAGTGATTTTCTATTCACGTTTTTCGTATTTTGCTAGTACAACTGTCTTTTGAGCAAGTGTCCAAGATATCATGTTTTACAACTAACTAACAACAGGGGCTATACATACACAGTCTCTTCTTTCTTTCCTGAAAATATGAAGATAACTGGATTAGTATTTTCCAAGATATAGTGATTTCTTGGGTTGCATTTTTTTGAACACCCTGTATTAAAAAATTAAAAATAGTTGCTGGTGAAAATGAAAAGAACTTGAAAAAGAAAAGAAAAGAAACTGAAGTTGTTTAACATCACTTGTAAAAGATTGGGGGACTTCAAAATAGGATGTTTAGCTTCTTACAAAAGGAAATATTATTATTTATATCAAATCAATGGCTTGCAAATTGGAGTCGTCAATAACAGTAACACAACTAGTACTGCAGTATGTTTCCATATTATTCTAAAGTGACTCTGTTCAAACAATAAGCAGTTCAATGACCTGAACCTTTATTGATATAAAAAATCAAAAATGATTTACATGACAAAGTAAGCTATTCATATTATACAAATAGTGACTGCCATTGAGGGCAATAGTGTAAATTATTTCCCCGAGGGAATATCCTCTACAATGTACTATTCCCGAAGCCGCAGGCTGAGGGAATAGTATATTGTAGAGGATATTCCCAAGGGGAAATCATTTACACTATTGCTCGAAATTAGGCAGTCACTATTTGTTTTATTATATACCCTATACTGACTCTTGTCCCGTTTCCTCTGCGAAGGCCAAAAAGGCTTAGAAAGCCCCCTCCCCGGGTCCATTGTTAGCATTATAAGCTGTGACGTCATCAGATGCTCAACAGAAATTTTTGCCTCTGAGACTCTCACTTGACAAATTCAATCGCGTTTAACACGCGGAATAGATTATCATAACACTTGAAATTACACAGACGTATTGAGCTTAGGGAACTTTATACACGTTGCTTATATTGTATCGTTCACGCACGTCTGTCATGGTGAACGGAGTTGATTTGTGTTTGTGCTCATCCTCCATTTTTCTGTTTTTCGTCTGCGCAGTGATGATGAGCAGACGTTTCCAAGGGTAATAGAGCTTGCAATTGTGACGTCAGCGGGCAATAGTTCAAATGTATATTCCCGCTGACGTCACATTTGAGGGAATATAACTTTCCGAGGGAAATAGTAAATCTATTTCGGAACACGTGACTAGGTATTGACCAATCAGGATTAGTGTTACATATTGGGTATATAATAAGAATAAATATTCTCCATAATGTTACATATTTTGAATATGTAGTGTTGGAACATTTCATTCATTCTGTGAGCTTGATTTAGAATACTGATATACAATATTAATGTCTCTCGATACTTACAAGGAGTGTAACAGCAGTGATAAGGCTTGGCGAAAAAAATTCTTAGTAAAGTTACCATTAAGCGACTGCGACTCCCTAAGTAGAAACAATGGTAGATCAATGATGTTAATAGAATAATATTCTAAGGTCTGGGGCTTACAATCATACAAACCAATTAAATGATCGTTGCTCAATTACCACTAAGTCGCAACTAAGTACATGCGTTTGATCCTACAAGCATTTATTTCATGTACTACTTCAATCAAGGCAGTCCCAAGTCGAGACAGACGTCAATATTCATATGTCTTCTCATTTTTTATACTCCGTGTATAATTATATAAGTGAAGAATCATAGGAGTGGAAACCCATTTCGGATCACACATATTTCATATTTTGTGTCAATAGAGAATGGAATAGTTCAATTATGTAGATTAAAAGTTAAATGCGGTGCAAACAAATGTCAATTAAAGCCATTTACAGTTCTGTCGGAATAAGGTAGTGTTACATTCTGATGATATAATGAAAAACTATTCTGTTCAGTGCAGAGACAACCACTGGGAAAAAGAGAGAAATACGATTACGGATCTGTTTCGGTAACAAGATGGCGACTGGTCCTGTGTATTTTTTCTTCAGAATTATTTTCCGTGCTTTTCTTGAATCTTCACCATTTTCTTATATCAATAAATGACTAATCTCGTCAATCAATTAAATATAAAGCAAACGAATACAAAAAAAATTATATCGGTTCTGTTACCATAGCATATATAGGGTGTTCACTAAGTAATGACACTAGGTCTCCCATTTCTACAGTTTTTAACCAATCTTTCTATATTTTGCACACAGTATCTGGCATATAATAATGAGTGCACATACCAAATTTCATTTCTCAAGAATGAAAATATTTATTTATCATTTACATTTTGATTTGGTAACATGGTCCTTGACACAGCAAATATGACGTCACATTTAACATTGATTAGGAATCTTTAATCCTGAGCATATCCCTTCTGCAAACGATATATAATATTTTATATCCAGCACTCTTGGTCCATGCCCAGTGGATACAATATTCACTACAAAGTAATTTGTATCTTCTTCAATGCATTTCGATTGTTGTTTAGCCATCCATTTTTGGAAAACATTTGTTACGCCAATCTTATTTTATTTCAACCTGTTCGTCTTACAATTTTCTCATTGGAATGAAACTGTTGACTCTTTAGGAGACCAATAGCACAGAGCCGTAGTTCAAGTTCATTTGGTGAATAATGAGCAAGGTCTACATTTTTAAATCATACACTACTCTGTATTTTGTCCATTCTCTATGCACTACATTGCAGTATGACATGGATGTTGCTGCATTGAAGCCAGTTTCCTATTTCCACAAAATCTGTTTTCCGATGACGTTTTTAACTTTGGCAGACTTTCCAACTCATGGAGATCCCAGACTATCATGATGTCTTTAATTAAACTAGGACTATATATTATGATGGCATTCTCTGAATGAACCATACTGTACTATGAATGTAACCACTATACAGGCTCAACATTATGTGAATCCCCAATACATCGCTTCATCAAAATTGAGTAGAAACTGGTGTCTGTGTCAACGCATATGTCACCAGGTTGCTATGGAAACCATTATTCCATTGTTTGGAGGTCATGAGCTTTAAGACTTCAAATAAACTCACAATTACACTTTTAAGACATGCTGAAAATTTAAGCAAGATTTCTTAAAATTTGACAAAATGGGAGACCTAGTGTCATTACCTAATGAACACCCTGTACCTTGCCGATACCCCAAGTTCAAGTTCTTCCAAGGGGTCACGGGATTATCACATGGACCAGTGTTAAAATCAACATCTTATGCTCGAGAAAATATCAATAATATAATATTGCATTATTCAAATGTACTATGTTACGTGGACGTATAATGTCTGTACTCGTCAATACAACAAGCTATTAACTTCTTGGTCTGATGTGAAGATGACAGATACATCGGAATAGTTATTGTGTCAGTTTAGAACCGGGCAATGCGTTTTATATAATTCACGCATGATCTTCTAGATGCCAATAATGAGATTGAGCCAAATTAATCTTCGAACTCATTATCATGGATTTCGCAATTCTTAAACTGCTATTTAGACAGTTATCAGAAAGTACAAATAGTGGATAAAAATGAATTTGGTATTTGTGCATTGGTTCATATCATCGGATATTTGGAACTTGTTTTCCTACTGACTGAGTAATACTTTCCAGTTTCACAATAATTCTGTACAACGCTTTAAAACTTGCAGGACGCAGTCAC